GGGGGGGGGGGGGAGTGGAAGAATCAATCCCACGCCATGGATGTGGAGTGGCCCATTGACCACAGGGACAGGCTAGAATATACAAGCATGATTCACTTCTACAATTGTGAAAACAGAAAAAAAAATCACCTCTTTTTTAGCTCAAAAGGGCCACAAGTCCCCCCAAAGTGATCGCCTGGCCTGATGATGCAACGTAGGATTCTTACTCTGTGTGACAACGACCCGCTCAAAGGATCCCTCTGAGCCATCATGACAGTTTGCCCGACAAACATCCATTTCTATCCGCTTGCCCCTTCTAACAGGACTGTAAATGATTCTGCCCCAGCCACTTCCAAGATCAGCAGGAGCTCTTTCTTCTTGTTCTTCCTCTTCTTCGTCATTTTCAGAAATGACATCTGTCTCTCTAATATCAGAATCATAGGAAACTGGATCCTCTTCATATGAAATATTCTCAGCTTCTGACTCAAATTGATCCTCTGTCAAAAAAAGAAGTGATATTTCAAAAATGAACCAAAAAGCAAAGTATTTGTTACTAGTTGCGGCAATGTCTTATCAAACCAATGACCTCCGCCAAGTTTTCAAACTGAAATCTAGGATCACATGCACCAGGCNCTCTGTCAAAAAAAGAAGTGATATTTCAAAAATGAACCAAACAGCAAAGTATTTGTTACTAGTTGCGGCAATGTCTTATCAAACCAATGACCTCCGCCAAGTTTTCAAACTGAAATCTAGGATCACACGTACCATAGTCAATCTCAAGATCTTCTGGATTCCTTTTAGCATGCTGCTCCTTCAAAGTTTCAAATTCCATACCATCAAGCGGCCAAGTTTCTCTGTTTGAAATTATAGTGAACCATTACATACCTTTCGTGACATTGCAGCNCTTCAAAGTTTCAAATTCCATACCATCAAGCGGCCAAGTTTCTCTGTTTGAAATTAACAGTGAACCATTACATACCTTTCGTGACATTGCAACAATACTCAAGGCAATAAAAGAATGGGAAAAGAATCTTTTCTTTGGCCGAGCTTCAATAACAGGGTAATCACTTGATTACATTCAACAACTCTTTTAACAACTGTCAAACACATTGGAAATCTTATTTATCCCTTGAGCCATAGCCAGCACTGATATACATGTTATCCAGCAGATTCCCAAGTGAGCTTTATGTTAGTCAAGTAGGACAAACAGCCAACAAGTTACTATATATCATTGGCAAGCTCATCTGTTTTAAGATGGATGATTGCCATCTTTATCAGGATCCAAAGATTAAACAAATTCTCAGAATAAGTATTGACAAAGGAGAATCGTATTCTTGAACTTGTGGTCTGGATAAATCCTGCATCATGCACAGTGGAAGCAACCACTTGCATTCTTTCACATATGGTTGTGCAATGCTTATGAAATTTGAAATAATAGGCCCCATATAAAAAAAGACCAGTGAGGAGCAAGGTGCAGGATCATGCTTGCAAAACAATTCAAAAGAGTTTCCATCAAGTTTGTCGTAGAGTAGACAGAGAACAATACTCCCTTAGCAATTGAATGAAACATTTGCTCCCATACCCAAAACAAAAGAAAAGATAGTTCTTTTAGTTATTAAACTGAGACATAACATAAGAAAAAGGGTTATTGAAGAATATTGAACAGAAAGAATCACATGGCACATATCAGTAGATAATCGACAATACTAAATTTTGATAAGTAGGAGGAGAACTTGGGAAAGAGTCGCAGGGTCATCCACACAATTATGCACTCTATGTAGGTTGTCTCTCAATTTAAGGGCTACACAGAACATTACCTACTAAAATATAACCATTCAATAGATCATATGAAGACAGGCTTCCTTACTAAAAGTAGAATTTCTATCACAATTAATGAGTTTAGGCAGATGAATTAAATTTCAAGATGTTTGAAAAGGCACACAGAATACTTGCCTTGGGCGTTGTCCTCGTCTGAAAGCGACAAAACAAAATTTCTCATCTTCAAAGCCACGTAGAGGCTCTCCCTTGGACCGCTGCAAAACAATCATGCATAAGTAAATAGGTAAAATTAATGATACATTCCCTATGTCCCTTGTCAAGAAAAACAATATTAGAAAAAGGAAAAAAAGGTGAACCAGACTGCTATGACATTTAGAAGAAGTGCCAGTCACATCTGTAACACTAAAAGTGTGTACAGCAAATGTGAAAAATACTTAACAGGAAGTTAAACTAAATAAGAGAGCAGTATAAGGACTATAAAAGTGAATATAGCTTCCAGATAATTCCGGAAATTATTGAATTTGTGATGCACCATTCAGTCAATACTGCGATGTAGAATAAGGAATCATGTAATGGTGATTTTCAAAGATTACACAAATCCAGTTTCAAGCTAACGGTTTGTGGTGACATGCTCATTGTCAAACAACAAACTCAAGTGTTATTGCTTGAGGTAGAAGTTCCCCAGGACACTTGTTTGACAAAGTTTCTTTCACAAAAGAGAAGAAAAGAAATCGGTAATGTTGAATAATTCAACAGAAATTGAGCCCTGTGCATTAAGACTAGTGCATCAATAGCTAGGACAACTAAACAAGACCATTCTGAACACAAGAGTCTATCCAACCCCCCTGCTCTTCTCTCTCTCCCTCTCATCTCCTTTCTTTTCCCAGACACATCATTCAGGGGCAACAAACACGATAGACCCCATTGGTTTAAAGAGAAACCTTGTATGCACGCTGTGATGTTGTCCTCTCCAAGCGCTGAACGAAATGACAATACTTTCCAGTATTATCCAATGGACAACGTCCATCATGAGGACACTGCAACATAAACATTGATTTAAGAAAAGGCAGGTGAATGAAAAAAATAATTAAAAGGAAGGAAATCATTAGGAAAAAATCAAACTTACTGGAGCAACTATAAATGCACCACTTTTGAGTGCCATTAGATGCTTAGAAGCTTCATCAGATGCATCTTCTACTTTGCGGCATTTCTAAAGTCATAAATTCAGATTATAAAAATTGGTTTTAAAAGAGTTAATGTAACTTTGAACAGAGGCCTGCTGTAAACATTTTTTTTTTTTGCTGTGAACATATTGATTAACCATAATAACTAAGAAATGTTATCAGAAAACTTATTCACCCTTTTTTCCATCCACAGAATATGAGATCGCATTTGAGATATGATACTAGATCCCTGTGGTGTTCCAGGTTCAACTAAAACCTGCTCAACAAGTCAATTGCCGAATTTTAAGAATGTAAAGAAAAATTACACTTCAAAAAAAGGCACAAACATGAAATATGAAGAAAAAGACAATTTAAAGCATGCATTTGGTATCATTTATTATTTAAAGTTTATACTACATTATTATGTAATAAAACTCTAAAAACCTTCGTATCTAAACAGCATGTGGTATTATCTGCAAGCAACTTATGATTGCCAAGTCCACATTAAGAGCCAGTATAATTAAGCCAAAGAAAAATCTAACATGATTTGTTCTGAATTTTCCCTTATTGCAAACTGCTTTTCTTTTGGGTTAATAATTACACCTAGATGCAACAAATTTGTCACTTAATCAGACAATCCCTTTTGTTTTGGCCAATAACACTAAGAGTATAACATCAGGGGTTAAGTATCACCAAAAACCAAAGCTCGTGTCTACCGTCAGGAGTTTAAGTGTTACCAAAAACTAAACCTCAATCCTAGTATTATTTGTAAAACAAGATGGGATCTACATAATTAGCTTACAAACCTCAAGGGTAGAGGTCTGATTAACGCTTAGTTTTGCTAGTTGAGTGTTCACCTGATAATTTCTCCAATATACCAGGTGGCATGGAATTAGTAACCATCTTAATACTTTTAAAGGGGTTAACAAATGCTAACACAGGTAATTTTTAAGTACAATTTGAAATCAAGCATGCATATAGTAGTAATATATAGCCTCAAAATTTACCAGAACATCTCGTGTAAGATCCCAGAGCTGGCGCACAATAGTAATTCTGTCTTTCAGTGATGGTATCTCTCCCAGCACATAGGACTTCACCAAATAGTAAAACACATAAAAAAAAAACTTAATTAGCATTCATATTTCATATTAGCTGCAAATCAGATACATGCTAGAGCGGAAAATAGCAACATTCAGGTGTAAGAGAGTACAGAATAAGAAGAATAAAACTTACAGCAATAACGAGGTCGTGCTTTCTATCGGACTTGCAGATATTCTGAGTTAATTTTTGAATGCTATCGTAACTCTGAATGAGCGGCAAATTCTTGAGATCTACAATAATTATAGCCATTAAAAGTTAAAATTTTAGTGGAATATAACGTCATCTCCCTTATGAATTGTGGGGGAACAAAAAAATGTGAAGTCCACAAAATCAACTCATATGCATCCACTATAAATATCTCCGGTCCATCCCTGTTGACATCCTCTAAACTATAAGTAAGCTAGACTTCTGTGACAAGAGATAGGATATGTCGATAGAGCACTTAAAATTACACAGTAGAACTCCCCAACAACAATAAAAAGAAATTCTTTGAATGATTTGACTTCATTAAACAAGAAAACAAGGGCCAAACCAAAGCCAAACAAGGCAATACACAAAGTTACTTGAAAAATAACGATAACATGTAATTCAACAAAAGATGTGGCCCTTAATTAAGTTGTATATTGCCACAGACTAGTTACCCAATTCAAAGTACATTGAAGGCTTATTCAGTTATGCTTGATAAGTAAATCGAAGACAATCATCAACACACATCATTCTAACAATTTTAATTTGCAAGGTGAATAGATGGGATACATCAGAATACGGTGACAAATCCAAACCATACATAGAAAAGTGAAAAACCCACATTATGATTTCAAAATGTGTCACCATTGAGTGGAAGGAAGAAAAATATTGCAAGTCAGAGAATTGACATTTGTTTAGTTTTTTCAATACTAACAACTGATTTCTGATATAAAAATTTTCAATATACTTCACTTGCCCTCAAAAACGTCTCCATACATCTTGAATTCTTCAATAATACATCAGAAATCACCTTTTATGAGGTTCTGTCCAGCTCGTTGCATTGACTGCGATGGCTCTATTAAATTAATTCTTTTCAAAGATCGTGGCCACACTTCTCGCAATGCCCTACAGCATTTCATTCATATTCAACCGTAATGAAACTAAATAAATCATATCAACAGACCAAAGGCAACTTTCTATTTTAAGTAATATTAGAGAAAAGCAAGCTTATCTTCTTACCATAATGCTGAACCAGTACCAGCACCAAAGTCCAATACCCTAGTAGGGGAAAAACCCGGTAACCTCCTCCGAACCTAAATCAAGCTCAATTTCAAACCCCCCCCCCCAACCAAAAAAAAAACAGCGTTCACCACCTCCATAATTAAGGCCCTAAAATGATTGTAGTTACATTTCAAAATACTTGAATGGGTACTTCATTGATTTCTTTCGTTACCTCACTAAGGACTCGATAACAAGCGCAGTAAACAGCTGGCATTCGAGAAGCCACATAAGCGACGGTCTGGTCGGCTCGGTACTTGAGACCAATGTCGCCGTAAGAGCTCTTGATCTTCCACCGCTTGGAGCTTTCCATGGACTTTAGAGGATCTTCGACAAGCTCTTTGGAAGTGGAAGTGGGAAGCATTAGATTCACCTCCTTGATTACGTTAAACGATTCCGACAAGCTCAACACTTTCCTCTTCATGTGTGGCTCCTCCTGCTCTGCAAATATAACATAATAATCAACAAACACATGAAATAAATAAATCAGAAGGAACTAGAGAGAAGATCCCACAAATATACAAATCGGCATGTCTGTATTTACCTCGGACATATCTTTTGATGGCTCTTCGGAGGCGGACAGGAACGGTGAGGCAAGCTTCGGACTGTTTGGCGGCGGAGCGTAGGGTTTCGGAGGTGAACTTTGGGACCGTTTCGGCAATCCTGGACGCCATTGTCTGGCTAATTTGGTTCCGATTCGGAGCGTGAGAGAGCCAGTTCGGGGTTCGGTTTTGGAGGTTTTAGGCAGAATGGGGTTTAAGCCTTTAAGGAAAAATCTGGATGCAGAGATTTGGACCGTCAGTGGACTAATCCTTTTGTGGGCCTGGGACAGTTAGTGGATCAAGCTTTTTGTTGGCCCTGTCATACAATTAAAAAGATGGGCCTCCCACTCTTCTTCTTATGGACTTCAATCTTACTGATCTTTTACAAGGGCCGAGTAGCCCTTACAGTACTTCGTTCTTGGAATTGGGTTCATAGAATATACTTCATATTTACAAAATACGAAGGGCAGTGTAATGTTTTGAGCTATTACAGGCCCAAGGATTAGGGATAAAGGATTAGTAGTCACATCTGTCAATCACATCGGATGAAATGAATTTGTGTCAAAAAAAAATAATTTATTTATACCCGATTTATTTATTAATTCATATCTAACAAGTCGTATNTACAGTACTTCGTTCTTGGAATTGGGTTCATAGAATATACTTCATATTTACAAAATACGAAGGGCAGTGTAATGTTTTGAGCTATTACAGGCCCAAGGATTAGGGATAAAGGATTAGTAGTCACATCTGTCAATCACATCGGATGAAATGAATTTGTGTCAAAAAAAAATAGTTTATTTATACCAAATTTATTTATTAATTCATATCTAACAAGTCGTGTCATATTGAATTTGTGTGAATCATGTATAATCAGTTTATAAACGAATTTTGTCATATATTCACTTATATCTGATTCGTTTATTAATCATATTATATTAGGTCCATTCATTTTCAAAATGGATGGAACACTCAAACCCTTTAATTTGGTATCGTTTTCGTATCATGTTAATGAATTGTGTCATATTTTGTCACGGTTAATAACTTCTTAGTTATTTAAAAGTCTAGANATCATGTATAATCAGTTTATAAACGAATTTTGTCATATATTCACTTATATCTGATTCGTTTATTAATCATATTATATTAGGTCCATTCATTTTCAAAATGGATGGAACACTCAAACCCTTTAATTTGATATCGTTTTCGTATCATGTTAATGAATCGTGTCATATTTTGTCACGGTTAATAACTTCTTAGTTATTTAAAAGTCTAGAGCTCACTATTGCATTGAGCCTCAAGCTGGAACTAAGGGAAATCAGTAATTCAGTTAAAAATTTGCACATTTTTTTTTTCAATATTAATTCCAAAATCCCAATTCGATCCATGATGCAAAATGAATCTATGTTCTGGCTTTTGCATCTCAGATTCCAATCCCACTCTCCATTGCTATATACGAATAACAAGAAGGAAAAAAAACAAAGACTTATGAGAAAAGTATGTTTTGATAACCCACTAAATGGACCGGTAGTTATCTTTGTTCTGTGATGGTACAATAACCGAGTGTTATAGTGGTGGTTGAAGGACATTAGAGAAACAGCTTCAGAGTAAGAGTAGCAAACCTACCTCAAAGCTGCTATTTAATGCAGACAGTAGATGGTGGTGGAGCAATTATAAAGTGGCAATGTATAAAGCGGGAACAGATAATGCATAGGCATATGTACATCAATCACTTTTACGTTGTACTGTTAATTAATTCCTTGCCACGGAAGGATAAGTGCATGCTTGTCAAGTTGTGTTGGTCTTTTAAGGGTAGAGAACTGGTCCACCATATCCAGAAGTTCACGTCTGAAAAAGCAGTCTCGTACCCAACTAGGGCCCTTTCTCCATTTCTCCATCAAGTAGGAGATGAGAGCCTTACCTATTATCAGTATGTGGTTATGCTTTTACATTATATGTTGAGATTCAGCTTAGTAATTATCACAAAGACATGAGATATTGCCTATCCTGTAAAAGAGAGATCCGACTATAGCTTACCAAGCCCAAGTGTCAGCATTAAACCTCTAAACTAGTTGGCCAAGGGAATGCAGGGACACTCTTGATGCTCTAGCAGACCCTTGATGCTGAATAATTTTGCCTGGGATCTGCTTTTGGTGTAGCAGCTCAAATGATCACAATCACCATAAGTTTTAATCTAGGAAGTACGGATATGAACATGGGTGTCGTATCTGATACGATTCAGATACAGAGATACGACAAAATTAAAAAATATGAGATACGGGTACAGTAAGCATACGACTATTAAAATAATATAATATATTTTTTAAATAATAATAGAGTTGTAATATATTAAAAATAAAACATATATTATAATAATTTAATAATAAGACTTTGCAAATATTATTTTTTTGATTAAAATTGAAATAGATCAAATTAAATGTTCACTATTTTTATTAAACATCATTGCATCTATTAATATTCATAGTATATAAGTTAGGTAACAAAAAATATATTAAAACAATTAAATTTTGAATAGTTAAAAGTTATTTTTTTAATAAAAAAATTTGTGGCCATGTCCTGGCCGTATTCTTGCTGTGTCCGACTGAATTCACTATTCAGGATACTTCTAATCGTCTCGGACATGTGTCCGACCAAGTCTTGGCCATATCCGTGTCGGACACATGTCCGATACTGCCACGGCACCCCGTGAGAAGTATCCATGTTTCCTAGGTTTTAGTCTTAGTACTTCCAAAATCGATTGACAACTGTTTAAGTGATCTCAAGTATTCATACTAACTTTAGTATATTTAACAATTTAATGTAGAATACAAGTTTTCTTCACACCCATCATCTCGTGCAACTATAGCTAGCACTTATCATAACAAATATAATAATGGGACATTTCCAAACACTCCCAGATGATGACACGTGTACTCGACGTCAATGGAGACTCTCGATGTAATACCGACACGTCTTCGTCGATTTTTAACCCCCCTGCCCCGAGGATGCTATCACAGGGATCAAGGATCCCCAAACCACCATGGACCGACACATATTCTTCGGTAGTTTGGGCACATCGGTCCTAAATCATGCTAGGCCCTCGGCACCGAGGTGTATCTATCCGCGTGGGCGTTTCTACTCCTGCAGGGGTTATTGACGGACAGATCACTAGTCTAGGCAAGGCTAGACTAGCCATCATGACCTCGTCTTACTCAAATAGTGTCAGAAGACACAAGAAAGCAGAAGGTTCAACCAAAGGGGAATGCGCACGTGGCGTATTGTGTCAGATCAGAGACAAAAAAGATCAGAATGCCCTTGCTGACACACGACTTGAAAAAGCAAGTATTTAATGCACCCTTTCCTTGATGAGATAGCATTTAATGCATGAGAGCTCGAAAGTGAAAGTTAATAAATGTCCCAAAGTCTGGGCATTTAATACACCCCCGCCGAGGGAAGATCATTAAACGTTCAGCAGACCAACGAGAAAGCATTAGTTGCTCGGAGTCCCAAGCAGTAAAGATGAAGAACATCACTCATAGAAATTGGTGTGCATACTGCCCACCTCCAATGATTACCTACTAGCTACGCTGACAGCAATGATGAGTTTTTAAGGTATAAATAGTCCTCACAAACACATAAAATAGGTACGCAACAAACTCTCTCTCAACCATCATACAGTGTTTTCTTCTTCCCCTCTCTCAAAGAACTGATTTGATCGTCGGAGGGGATACGCCGAAAAACACTCCGGCGCCCTTCTAACCTGTTTTTCTTTGTTCCAAGAACCTCCTTTAGCCTTCCAGGATCACTCAGGCCTCTCATAAAAATGATTCATTATCCACCTTGGGCCACCTTCGACCCTCACAACCTGTTCCAGGTAGCAAGATCGACCACCCCGATTGACGGACACGTGTTCACCATGAAAGAGATATGTTCTAGTGTTTATATTGTGCAGGATCTTGCATGCACAATCTAGCGCCGTCTGTGGGAAACGACTAGTTTTCCTAGTTTCTTCTCTAGAAAGAACAGTGATCATTGTGAATACTCGACAGAAATAAAAAGGTCCCCAGTAAAAAAGTCTCGAGTTACAAGCTCCTCGTCATGTTGGGGGGAGGGATCATGCTGATGACAACAGGAACATTTCTATTCATTCAAGGGGGCATACTCCTCAAACTAGTATGGACATTAGATCAGGAGGATCCGCCCCCTTTGCTCGTCAACTAGCGGAGGTGATTGAAAAAAAGTTTGGGGATCGACTACGATAGTTAGAACAAGATAATGTGAACGTTCTAAGCCGGCCCAACGTATTTATCGCCTCCGGCGAAGGATCGAGGGACTCATTTCGTTCTCACGGACGCCCCGTCTGGAAAGCAAAAACTGAGGACCTGATGAATCATTTGAACAACAAAGCTGAGAGCTCCAGGGGCCCGAAACGCCCGAGAGCCAATGATCACCCCCTCGACGGTCATTCTAGGAAGGCAAGGCCTTTGGCCTGGAACGACCTCCGACAAGGATTATCAATACGGAGGAAGGGAGACGAGTCCGAAGATGATTCAACCCTTTTCGCACGATGCCCGAAGAAGGGGAGCCCTATCAATAACCTTGGAAACTTCAAAAGACATCCCTCTGAGGTGGAGATTGATCTCAGAGCCCAACTGGAATCCAGAAGAAGGGGCAAGGCCGTNTGCCCGAAGAAGGGGAGCCCTGTCAATGACCTTGGAAACTTCAAAAGACATCCCTCTGAGGTGGAGATTGATCTCAGAGCACAACTGAAATCCAGAAGAAGGGGCAAGGCCATCCAGGATGACGCCGAAGATGAGGCCATGCAATCACCTTTTACCAGGGGATATCCGAGAGATGGAGGTACCAAAGAAGTTCATCGTGCCAAGGTTTAAAACTTATGATGGGCGATCTGATCCCGAAGCTCACCTCAGGCAATACAAGCAAATAATGTCCCTGTATCATTCGGACCAACAGCTCCTCTGTCGTGTGTTCTCCATGAGTTTGGGAGATTCTGCGATGAAGTGGTTCGAGACTCTTCCTCCCAACAACATTGGGTCATGGAAAGAATTGACGAGGCAGTTTCTAGCCCGATTCATTATAGGGAGCAAGCGGCCCAAAGACATTAGGTTATTACTGACGCTCAGGCGGAGAGAACAAGAAATCCTTCACCAGTACGCCACT